ACATATATATATATATGTGTGTGTGTGTGTGTGTGTGTGTATGCATGTACACATATATACATACACCACACACACACACTGGGCACAGCTCTAAGTTATCCCGATCCACCCACGGGCTGCTTAACATATGTGTTTTCTGCTGATATCCTTGTCCTAAATATGCAAGTCTCTAGAAAATTCTCTGAAGCCTGGACTCATGCTTTATTAGCTCACTGGGGTCCCAGTGTGTGGGGAGCAGAGGAACCCTGAGTGTGGAAAGTCCTGAGTCAATGTGCATTGTTGACATGGGTCTGGCTGTGTAAAGGGTCCCAATGCTTCAGACTCATGAGAATAGCAAAGCTTTCCCTGGGTGTGGCTCAGAGGGATGGCAAAGCTTCCTTGGGTATGAATAAGGATGTTCATAGTGTGTACAAAAAATGAGCATCACAGCCCCCCATCATATTTATAGTCTGAAGTCTGAACCCTACAGCGCTGCCCCTACCTTGATTACCTTAATCTATCTCCGTGTTCATTTGCTTCTGAGGTACTGTGGCTTCCACCAGAGAACCAAGTCTAACCCACCCCAACTTCTCTGTGTGTCTGTGTGTCTGTGTGTCTGTCTGTATATCTATCTTTTCTTCATTCCCTTGCTACCCCAGTTAGGCCTCTCTGGGAGCCACGCTGGATGAGGAAGCAGTGTGTCAGGTGTATGCCTCATGCAGTAAATACTCCACGAACCTGAGGACTAGTAGGAGGCTCAGGAGAGGTTAGCACCTTTTGTGGCTGGATGGCATTGCTCTTGTGTGTGCTACACGATGGTGAGCACGGTGGTTAGTTTTAAATGTCAACTTGGTGGTGGCACATCTACTTTTATTTGACCTGGGTGATGGAAGGCCAGTAAAGTCTGTAAGGACAGCCTTCCCTCTATCTCCGAGGCATTAGGAAGCAGAGTGTCACGTGACACAGCTGCAGCAAATTGAGCCGGCCCCAGCACACCCATCCATGAGGACAATGCTAGGTCTTCCTGATGCCACACTGTGCTGTCCATAGCAGACAGCTTGAGAGCTTGCAGAACCTCAGGTGCTTTTTCCATGGGAAAGAACCTCCATGGGAAAGCAGAAGATGGGATGGGTGCTGGGCAGTTACTCTTTCCCTGCAGCACTGACCCAAGATCTTGTGGTGAGATCAGCTTTTGCTGCAACTTGAAAATGTCCTCGACACTCAGCTCTGCAGCAGGGGATTGATTTCTGCCTGCTTAATGATTTTAATTACACTGTGGCCCTCTTTAAAGAGAGAAGAGTGATCACGCAGCAGAATGGTGATGGACAGACTCAGGGAGCCCTGGAGCGTACAGTGCCTTCCCGTAGAGGTAGACAGGTAATGGAATCTAAGGTTCAGCTGAGGCTGTGTGGCAGATCCTTGATGATCTAAATGACTTCTGGAAAGCCTGTCACAGAAAGACCGGTGCAGGCAGTCATGCCTGGAGAGCACAATATCTCTGCCGCTGAGATTGCCAATACGAGTGTGACTGGGGTCTCAGAGCGAGCCCAAATTGTATTTGATGTGCTTGGACACAGCTGAGAAGCTGGCTGTGAAGAATGTTGGAAACTCATTTGAGTGGGAGTCTTTGGAGCTTTGCCACATAAGTGTCCAGTGGGAGAGAGCCTATGCTGGGTGGTTCGGCACTGTGCCTCCTTCTCTCTGACTTCAGTAGCAATGGAGCCCCACATAGGGGAGGGCTGCTGTAAAAGCTAACAGGAGTGTTTCCAGAAAGGACACCCACCCACCTGTGCATTCATGGCACAGGTGACAGAGGAGAAACTGTAAAGGACACGGAGGACACAGGGTATTTCCTCCTGCCAGGAGCTCAAGTCCAGCCCCTCCCTTTGGAATGGTGGCAGCCGCAGCAGAGCAGAATCCAGGGCTGTAGAGGATAGCAGAGCCTGGGGACAGGCTCTGTTATTGGACAATGTTTACAAGGGCCTACAAATTAAAGGATACTGGAGAGTCTCTGTGGCCACCTACAATACTCCTATGGTCTCCCAGACACAGTTTGGGTATCTCTGAAAGGGCCTTTTATGAACCCAAGAAATTTTTAATGTCCACACTCTCAGCTTCCTTAGGGGTGGGGTTTGTAGAAATTTCAATGTATTTCTGTCTCCATGGACTTGATAATTACCCCTAAATTGGAGGTGTGGGTAGAGTGTTATGAAAACTTTCTCAACATCATGCTAGGGCATTATCTAGATCAATGGTTCTCAAACTGTGGGTTGTGACCCCTGGGTGGGGGGTCAAACAACCCTTTCACAGGGGTCCGCTAAGACCATCATCAGAAAAAACAGATATTTACATTATGATTCATAACAGTAACAAAATTACAGTTATGAAGTAGCAATGAAGAAAATGTTGTGTTTGGGGGTCACCACATGAAGAACTATACTAAAGTGTTACAGCATTAGGAAAGTTGAGAAGTACTGATATAGACGGTTTGCCCCAGCCAATTGGGGAACACACTTCTGTTTTGCTGTTCACTATGGACAACGTCCCGCAACTGTATAAACCAAGGATATGGCTAACTTCTGTCTAGCAGAGAAGTGATTCAAAAGCTATGTGCTTGTATGCTCTTGATCATGAGCCAGACTGCTTTGACAAGATTATTCCAGTATTTTCTCCCCTCACTGACCACACTAAACTACCTTCATATTTATTATTAACAGCTTGATCATCTTGCTCCTGAGTGAGCAGACGAAATTGCCAATGCTGTTCACTACACAGAGTGTCTATCATTCTGCAAACAGGTTATCTTATGATAGGTCAGGCTGAATTTATCTTTGCTCCCCTTTTCAGGTATCCCTGAGCAAGCTGCTAAGCTGTCTATGGCAACCCTGAAGGCACCAGAGGTCCTAAACTTCATGAGTGAAGACAAACATTTGCAAACTTTTGTCAACTATAGTCACCATGACTTCTTATTTATAACTTAGAATAAGCTCCTTTCCTCAAATAGTTGTGATCTGTGTATCCTTCCTATAGGATTTGTTCAGCCTAGACGGGGTCTGCTGATACTGCTTCAAGAATAACAGGCCACTCTCAACATTGGGGGCACGAGGGAGATCTCTATGCATACGTGTTTGAAGTTCCGGAAGGGCACAAACTGGACGATGTCTCGAAGGACAGGCTCTCCCTTGGGTGACCTTAGAATTCCATCATCGCCGTCCAGCATCTGCATGTCACTGAAGTCGGCATTCCCCACTCCCACGATGATGACTGACATGGGGAGGTGGGAGGCATGGACGATGGCCTCTCGGGTATCAGCCATGTCTGTGATGACACCGTCTGTCAGGATCAGCAGGATGAAGTATTGCTTCAGGAACCAGGAATCAGACAACAGGTGACGATGAGGAACCAGGTGGGGGATAAAATGACAACACAGTACTCGTTAGATATCTGTATCTAGGTGGCCTCCTTGCAGAGTGACCATAGCAGGAGGGACAACAGACATTTTTTTCTTTTTTCTTTTTGTTTTTTCAAGACAGGGTTTCTCTGTGGCTTTGGAGGCTGTCCTGGAATTAGCTCTTGTAGACTAGGCGGGTCCTGAACTCACGGAGATCCACCTGCCTCTGCCTCCCAAGTGCTGGGATTAGAGGCGTGCGCCACCAATGCCTGGCTAAAAGTACATCTACCAGAAGTGGGGTAATTTTTTTTTGGTTTGTTTAAACTTTTTATTAAGAAAAACCAGATGGAAAAACAAAATAACCTGACCACCTCTGTGGGCTCATTACTGGGCATCAACAATTATCAGCATATGGCCAATCTTGCTTGATTTATCGTCCACATTTACCTACTTTGTAAGTGTATTTTGAAGCATATTCCATATATTATAGCACTTTCATAAAATATGCACAAAGATAAAATTTTACTAATAAAAACAATATCCTATACATGAGACTAAAATTTATAATCCATATCATTGGATAAAAAACAGGCTATTTCTGTTTTCTGTACACAAAGCTTCTTCATTTGGTTTTAATTTCTGCCCTAAACTAAAACCTGTGATCTCAAAAAACACAGGAGTTCATTCCCTGATGACCCACATTTCAAAGTGCAGGATTCCTTACTCAGGGGCTCCCCAAAGCAGATTCCAAGCTACCCTCCACCAGTACCCAAAGTTCTGTCTCCTTTAATATTTATTTACTTGTATCTATCAGTTTGGTGACTATCCCAAGTAGGCCGGTGGTTTTGGCTCTGCTCGACAGTTATGTCTCCACTCCTAGACTGTCAAATCCTGAGCATCCGACATCTGCTAACCCTCACATCAACTTCACTTTAGTTACCCTGCTCACAGGCAAACCAGAGCTCGTCATCATTCATCACCACTCCACTTAGGACATTGTGTCTTCCAGGGGTCCACCTCCTCCAGCCTGTCTGTTCTCCCTCTATCTTTCCATTGACTTTTGAGAGACCTCAAAAGGTTGTTGGCTCCTCATCTTTTCAGGTTCTCAGTTAATACCTATCTGATCTGGGCTTCAGTTCAACAACGGACAAATTTTGAGCCTCTCAATCTGCAGAGTAGCCCTGAAGGCTTAAGGTCATGAAGCACAGTGATTGTAGCTTAATTATAATAATCTTACTGATTGTTACAAAGCTAGGATAGGTAGAAAGCAGGAGACTGGGAGTCAGGAGAGCTGCCTTCCAAGCCTTATTCTGTGAGACCTGGAATATTCTATATGCCTTGGTCTCAGCTTCTTTATTTCTCAAAAGCCAAGAAGAATAAGATCATTATTTATGGTCTCCTTAAGCTTGAGGGTCTTTGAAAATGTACAGTTGCACTGTCCAGCATGGTGGTTACCAACTTGACAAAATACAGAGCCTTTCAAATGTGACCAGAGTAAGGGAAGAGCTGAATTTTAAATTAAAAAACAGATACTCAACTCAGTTATTGAACACTTTTTAAGAATGCTTAGAACAAATCAAAGAATTGATTTTTTCATCCATCAACTTATAATATCTAAATAACGATCAAGTGTTTGTGGTAACTCAGCACCCAGATAGAGATGCCATTAAATGTAAAATACATAAATATTTTAAAGTCTTGGTACAAAATACCCAAAGTATTTCATTCATAATTTTATATGAATCAGATACTAAAATGACAATATATTGGTTAGTTGGGATTTTGTTATTCATAAAGGATATTACAATGCATATCCTTGTTTCTTTTTACTTTTTAAGTGTGTTTACTACAGCATTTAAAATTGTATCTAGGACTTGTACTGTATTTCCCTTGGTCTATGATGGTGGAAAGCTCTGCTAGAGAGGGGCAGGGCTGGTCAAATGTCAATGTGATGGTTCTCCTGGTTCACATGTGAAAGGCATCCTGGCCCTTGGTTTGCAGCCTCCCTGTTCCCTGCCACAGGGCTCAGGTGAGATGGGGATCCCAGCGAAGACTCTGTACCTGTCAGTGCAGGATCACCCACTGGAAGTGAGTGGCAATGTTGCCCATCATTCTGTGCTAGCTTCACTGTGAGATGGGGAGAAGGAGGTTTAGGGAGATGAAACACAGGCCAAACACAAGAGAACTTCCCTCAGTCCCTACAATACTCCTGATCATTGAAGGAAGGAAGGGAGAGAGGCTAAGACAGTCTAGGCAGAGACATGAGCTTGGTGGTGGAGCACTTGTCAGGCATGTGAAGCCCTGGCTTTGGTCCTCGTACATGAATAAGAGTGATCTTATTTTCATCTCACAACAACAACAAAAGCTAAGGACTCTTTGGAGTCAAGAGAGTGTGAATATTTTAGAATCCGTTTCTTCCGGGTTTAATATACGAACCTTAATAAGCTACAGACTACTGTATTGAACCAGATGGAAATTTTCAAATAAAATTGTCACAATAGTTCATTCCAAAGTCAGGCCAGGAATATGCACATGTGTGAACTATTATCATCTATGATTATGCCTGAGGCCTATGGAGGGACATTTTTACCCCTAGGAGAATTCTATAATATCAAAGAGAAAAATCCTATTGCAAGATCCCCTGACACAGTCTGTCTGAGGGACTTAAGCTTGTGCCCCTTGGGAGTAATAACAAGAGACCCCAGGCCACAGTGTCCAACCTCAGGAGAGACCTCTAGAGAATGGATAAATTACAAACATATCAAAGAGGGGCCATTTATCTGGCTTTTTATTCGTAAACACTTCTTACATGTTTTGACTATCTCAGTCTCTTCAAGAACGGACTAACCTGGCCCCTGGGATGTGAGTGATGGCCACAACCTTATGTTGGCTTGTATTAACACAAAATCCACACCTGTCTCTATGCAGTTGTCCCTTTACTTTTGTAGGCCCCGATACCCCAGGGGGAGTGAAAGCATCTACTCTTAAAATCAAGCTGCAGGAATTTCCAGAGATTTCTCAGATACTCTTGTCAACAACGGAAAGGAGATAGGCTTTCTTAGTTCCCCTTGTCCAGCTTTGCCAAGAATATGCTTTTAATTTCATTTTCTTAAAACTCTATTTTAGGGGCTGGAGAGACAGAACTTATGTATCTCAGGATATCTGTGAACAGACTATGTAGCTGACGATGACCTTAAATTTGTAATCCTCCTGTCTCCACTTCCTGAATATTATGGGTGTCCTCCACCAGACCTATTTTATGTGGTACTGGTGATTGAGTCAGGGCTCTGTGTGTGCTAGCTAAGCACTCTGACCACTGAGTTACATTGCCATTCTTGCAATTATGTTTTCAAAAGATCAGTCTGCTTCCTACATGAAGCATAACTGCCCTAGGGAAAGACATAGAGTCCACTTAGGATTTGTTTTGGTCTAAGTGAAAACAGTTGTTGGTCCAGAACAGACAGTAGCTGCAAAGGTACTAAGAGGTGGTAACACTTGGGATATAGTTTGAAGATAGACTATTGTCATAACTTGTTGATGAATTGGATGGGGGGGTGTTAGCAGGATTTCAAGATGGCATCCAACCACCCTCACTTTCTGAGTTAATTGTCTTGTGTTGTCTTTTCCCATGCTGAATTGGAATGGTCCATGTAATCAGCAGGGCATTATGAGATGACAGAGCAAGACTTCTGTGCTAAGTTATGAAACACAGTTGCTCCTTTGTCTTCTCTTGGATCACTCGGGTGGAGCCAGCTGCAATGCTATAGGAAGCTTTAGTAGTTCTTCTGAGCAATGAAGAAATGAGGTTTCTGACCAGAAACCAGCAAGTACATGGCAGGCATTTGACCAAGCCATCTTAGTAGCAGACTTTTTAGCCTCAAGCCACTCTCCTCATCCCTGGCCAGTATCTTAACTGCTACCTTGGGAGACCTAACCCAGGGCCATACAGGACAGCTGTGTTGGCATCTCTGATCCATAGAAAATGTGGAGGTAATGAATGTTTCTTGTGGTTTTACCTTGGTTAAGGCTGTCTGTCTTTCAGCAACAGGAAATGAGGAAAAGAAAAGACATGAGGTAAGCCAAGGAACCCAGATTACTTCAAGGTTGTATTCTAAGCAACTAGCTGCATGATGGTAGTGCAGAGATGGAGAAGACAGGGATGCTGGGAAGTAAGGCCATCAGGATTGTGGGGAGGAACTGGTAGGAGGAGAGTTTGAGGGACAAAGCTAGTTCATAGAGATGACCAAGGACTCTGTTTCAGACTCTTCATTAGTGCTATTCAACATCCAGATGAAGATATTGATAACATTTGAATGATGAATTTGAAGTTCAAAGGCAAGTTGGGTTAATGATTCCTTTTTGACAGTAATAGAATTCAAGAGGTATATGAGGTCATGACAATAAACACGATAACCCCAGACAGAGAGCAGAGGGGTTATAGCATGGACAAATGAGGAGGAGGAGAAGGGAGGAAGAAGAGGAGGCAGAAATAGAGAGTGGTAAGTGAGACAATATGATGGGATGTCTAACTTTGACAAGTGGAGTCTTCAGAGGGATGCTGATGAAGGAACTCCCACAGGTTAGTGGGAGGAGAGATGGAGACAAGCATAGCAGCTTACTTTCAATGAATTTGCTGCATGGGGTTACAATGCTAGAGACAGGTGCTAAAGGGCAAAATAGAGCCAAGGAGGCACAGCTTTGGATTAAATGGGAGATACTACAGGAGTGTCTACATGAGGGAGGGAGGGAGGGAGAGAGGGAGGGAGGGAGTGAGGGAGGGAGGGAAATGCTTCAGTCTCTGGATAACTGAGAGAGGATGTGTTCCAGTGCCCCAAAGTAGTGACTGACATTTGGTAGAAGGTCCTCAATCCAGCCTAACACAAGGGAACACAGGGGCAGTGCAAGCAGGTCAGGGGAGTTATTGCAAGGGTATAATGTTATCTTCTTTATGCAAATGTGGCATCCTGGAAACCAGGTTCAAGTTACACAGAGTTTTTAGACAGCTGTAATGCCTACTCCATCTGGAAAACATCGTAACCATAGACAGAAACATGCTGACATCATTAAATAACACACAGGAAAGGCATTGTGGTGACAGATTTACTTCCAAAATGTCAAAGGAAAGGCTCCAATTTTGTTTTAGATTTGTAGCTGTCATTTGCATCTTTCCTAAAAAACAAAAAACAAACAATTTGAAACAAATGTTTGTCACGGTAGTTTGTATAATATTCTTCATCACCATGAGAATCATCTTTGTTTTGTGTTTTGTGGTGTGTGTGGGTGTGTGTTGTGTTTCACTGGAGTTTGAGTGTGCATGCACTCACGTTTACACATATGGATGGAGGTCAGAGCAGGATATTGGGTATCTTCTCCTCTCACTCTACACTCTTGTTTTGAGAGAGAATCGCTCACTGACCGGGAAGTTCAAGGTTTCAGCTAGGCTTACTGGCCAGAAAACTCTAGGTATCAGCATGTCTCCACCCGCAAGTGAATGCTGGGTTTGTAGGCATGCAGAAGCATGCTTGGATTTTTGTATATGTGCTGTGGGTTCAAATTCACTTTCTCGTGGTTACATAGCAAGCACTCTTTCACCGCCCTTTAACTACTCATTTACTTATGTGTCACACTGCTTCTATCTGTAGTCTGGATATATTGGAAAACAAGCTTAGTTTTGGACTTGTTTTCTTCCCTAGGACAGGAAGTGAGTGTGGTACAACTCTGAACACAGTGGCTTCCATTATTGAGTGTCTGTGTTCAGGCAAAGGGTCAGGTAATTGTGTCAACCCTGAGTTCCATATCCTGGCAGAGTTGGGTTTAATCAACTCCTCTGTTTCTCAGATGAAGAGATTGAAGATGGAGAAGTTAAGCCATTTCAAAAAACTAGAATTGCAACTCGAGTGGAATTCCACTACTCAGGTGCAGTCCTTACCAGTGGTGATCTGCCTGCCAGCTGGACTGCTCCCACCCCCTGGATTCTGTTCCCTCAAGAACCACTCTGCTGCCCAACCCCTTCCATGTCAGCAGCCAGCCCTCCCCCACAACGCCAGCAGACTCCATTGGCTCAGGTACAATCCCCACAAATTGGAAGAATGGGTGAGTGACCTTCCTCCCAGCTGAGCTGTCCCATTCCCCAGACCCTGATCCTCAGGGCACATTCCATGGCCCTCCCCCTTGCCCACAGCCCCAGCAGCTCTACTGGAGGCCAGGCTGGTCTCCCACTACCTGCCCACACTCCTTGGAGACTACCCAACAAGCCCAGACTGCACCCCTCCCCTGGGCTCCATATTCTGGCCTACAACTTTGGAAGAAGACTTAGGCTTTACTGGAGGTCAGGATGGTGCTAGGGACCCCAGGTAAGTCACTACCCACTGCCTGATAGCATTCCTTAAAGCCCACTCAACACTCCTAGACTGCAACCCTTCTTCTGGGCTCTCTATTCTGGTCTACAATTTCTGAGGAAGCACAATTTACTGGTGGCCAGGCTAGTTCTAGGGACCCAAGGCCCCCAAAACTCCAGTGAAGATACCCTACTGGACCTGAAGACTTGCCAGTCACCAGAGCTATTGACCACTTAGGCCAGAAGACCAGAGAGGAAACAGAAATCAAGGAACAAAACACCCACCCGACAAAGACAAAAGCAGGCATCAACACCAGAAACTATAACCATCTCAAATCCAGATGCCTAAACACCATTGTAAGAACACAATCACTAACAGAACCAGAAACCAGCTGTCCAGGGACAATAAGATTCCAATATTCAAATGCAGCTGAAGCAAAGTAAATAAATTAATTAACAAAAATAATAAAACAATAAAAATAAATAATAAATTAATTAAAAAACAAAACAAAAAAACCTAGAATTGATGGTCAGACTAGAATGGGTGGTATGGCCATTATCAGAACGAGGCAGGGTAAACCCCTGCTATGAGTGGCTTGTTCTCTCCTTACCGATGCCTCTTTGGTGTTGGTCTCCTCTGAAGCTGACTTGGCAACCTTCTGAATGATGGGAGCGATGTTGGTGGGACCATACAGCTGGAGCTTGGGAAGGCAGCTCTGATAGGCTTCCACGACTCCTTGAATTCCTGAAGTGAGATTTGAAAAATCAACACTTCCATAGCCCTTCCAAATGGATTTACATACTCCCGAAAATAAAACATTAACTTTGTACAAATAGTCCTTATCTGTGCCACACACAGAGTTTTCTTTTTATTTATTCTTCTCTTCCACAGTATACCCCAACTGTAGTCTCTCTTCCTTCCACTCCTTCCAGTTCTCTCCCCACCCTGTTCGCTTTCCCCTAGGTCCACTTCTCCTCCATGTCCCTTCAGAAAAGAGCAGGCCTCCCAGTCATCAACCAAGAATGCCATAGCAAGATGCAATGAGACTAGACACAAACCCTTATATTGAGGCTGGATGAGGCAACCTGGTATGAGGAAAGGGATCCAGGAAAAGGCAAAAGAGTCAGAGACACCCCACCCCACAAAACCCCAAGCTAACAGGCACAGGGTGGAGGCACATGTAGGTTTTTAAGGCAAAAGGGAATACTAGATCAGTATATTGTTGCCTCCCCTCCCCCATTGAATCAAATCACAATGACTCAAGTCAAAAGCAACTGTTTTCACAAAGTTTGCTTCACTTAAGCCTTCATTAGATCACCATAGTTTAAAGAGGCAGAAGCTGCACCCATTTTATAGGTGAAAAAGTAGAGGCTTAGAGAGGTTACACAATGGGCTCCAGGTCCCAGAAAAAGTGAGTCACAGACTCAGTGTATAAATCCAGGTCTTTGAGTTGAAAGAACCATTAAGTAAGTTGGTTTTAGGGTCTGGGTAGTCTTCAGTTCCCTGGGGAGCAGTGCGGCTCTGTTTCTGTGCTGTGAACACTCACAACTGAGCTGCTGCACCAGTAGAAACTGAACCTGGAGAGATGAACAGGTCAGGCTCTGAGACACTGGCTTTCTTTCCTGTTGTGACTTACCTGCACACTCTGGGTTGTCTTCATTAAAGTTGATTGCGAAGTCATGAGAGACCTAGGCACCCATTAAAATTGTAAAAGAGGAAGAAAGGAAAATTACAACTTGAACCCAGTAAGGAGGCACTGGGGGCTTAAGGGTTTGCAAACCCTTTGTGAGTTAAGCAGCAGGTACCATTTTTAGCCATTATACAATCAATCTGAGATGGAGGCTGAATACTCAGCTCCCTGGGGAGCTGAGGTGACAGGAAGATTTTCCAGAATCAGATAAACGCTGGTAGGAGGGAAAATAAAAGCATATTAAAGAAAAAGAGAAAAGAAAAACGAGAACTACAGATCGTTTCTAGATTCAACTGGCCACAAACTGAAGGGTTAAAGGTGAATGAGCTCTTACATGTACCCACCTATTTAAAAAATTAACTCAAGCTGACTGATAGACGTGGTATTGCTTACAGAGGCACTGGCTAATCTGTTGACATTTAAGGATAATTCTGACAAAACAGAATTACAGTGCATGGGGGATCTTCATGTGCACACAGGTGAAATAGAGTGCCTTCTACTTCTGAAAAAGAATCCGAATAAAGTTAGCTAGCCTGTAATCTTCCATCACAAACTTCCCTGCCTGGCAGTGCCTAAGCGGAAGGTTAGATGATACACTGTTTGCTATTTCCTTCCCCCTAAAATCTGATAAAAAGAAATGGGATATTCTGACATCTGGACAGTTTTATTAAATCACTTGGAATTTCATGGAAAATTCCATTTCAAAGGTATTTCTAACCATTGAGTCTCTTGGGTACTAAAAAAATAGGTCACCTCATTAAAAGATAGATACCTCTTTTCTTAGTGGGAGGTCACAGGTGAAGCAGGTGGTGTGTGCCCACTGTCCCTTTATCCTCTGCAAATTCCAGGCAAGAGTGCTGACTGCCAGATGCCCTGCTTGGCTTATTTATCTCAAGTTTTTCTTTAGCCAGCAAGATCTTCCTTGTCTATCCAAATTATATACGATACACATTGCCATTGGCACTCCTTAGGGAGACTTGAATAGATACAGTTTGGATCCCTGGAATTCAATTGTTTTGGGTGTTTTCTCTGTCTCTCACCATAATGACTGTGAGTTAAACCAAAGAACCCTTTAACTGAACCATTCAAATACATACCAAGAACACCAAGAAACTTTTTTTTTTTTTTTTTTTTTTGGTCAAGGGCTCTCTTGGACCACCACAGTGTTTGCTGAGATGAGTTTCCACAGTGCAGTACAGGATCCAACCTCTGCTCACTCACCGTGTACTCTGGGGGTATCCTGGCACCAAACCCAAAAGCCGGGAACATTTTGTCACTAGAATTAAATAAAAAAGAAGCCGCTTCATTTATTCATCTAAGAAGGAAGAGAAACACGAGCCTGCTCAACCTCACTAGGACAGGTTGCCAAGCAAAGCGCTGACCCATGCAATAACATGGATAACCAGAATTAAGAGACAGTCCTTACCGTTCATTACTTATTAGCATAAAGCCTCTTCCCTTAAGGCTTTTTTTTTTAAACTAAATTTGATAGCCAAGAGTAAAATGGACCAAGAATTTGCACATTCCCACACGCCTCATTCTGATTTTCTGTTTCCTTGGAATAGTGAGTGATGTTGGAATAGGAATTGGCTGAATTAGGCTCTTTCATATACGTAATTTAAACATTTTTAAAGCAAGAGATGATTATTCCCTTTTTTGTTGTTGTTTTGGAGACTTGAACAGAAGTACCTCTCAAGATGACATTGCTGACTAGAGCCAGGGTTCAAACTCAGGCAACGCAGCATCTCAGGAGGTATCAAAAGGCACAAGGAAGTTTGGTAGGCTGCTACCTGGCAAATCATGGTTTCCTTCATAGAATTCACTGTGCCCTCCACATTAAGCATATACATACGCAACAACAAATTGTTTGCATGTCTTTTCGTACTTTCTAAACTCAAAGGGATCCTGTGTTTTGTGTTAAGATTTTTTTTCTTGTTTGTTTATATTTCTTAGGCAGGGACTCACTCTATAGCCCAGACTGGTGTAGAAATGGCGAGGTAGTCTATCTAGCTAGCTTCTAACACATGGCAGTCCTCTAGCTCAGCCTTCTAAGTGCCGGGATTGTGGACATGTGCCATAGAGCCCAGGTGTATTAATATTTTACATTTCTACTGCTATTTGGCCCTGACTGTCCTATACCCTCACTTTCATCATTGTAATTTTCATTGAATGTCTGCTCCATAAGTAGCCAGTGATAGACAATCTACCCATTTAAGTCAGTGCTCCATAAGTTGCCAGTGATAGATAATCTACCCATTTGAGTCAATACGACATGCCTATATGCAGCATAATTCTGATTAAGATCCACGAGAGTCACACCTACCCTTTGTTTGTCCTGGTCTCTTTTGTGATCACTAGAATTCATCTTCTAATTCGTGTGTTCATGTGTGTTGTATCTTAACCCTAACTGTACTGCACTCTAGTTAAGAGGATAGGGAATGGAAGTATTAACATTTATTAACACACACAATTGGCTAGCACTATCCCAGGTGCTGTAAATATTTACATGCAACCTTGGGAGTTCAACTTACTCTATCTATTCTTAGGAAGATGGAGTAAACATTATCACCAGAAAGGATTATGAGATTCCCCAACCCATGATTTTCTAATTACCACACACACACATACACACACACATACTACATGTAGTATTAAACATCTACTAGCAATTCCAGGACCTAGGTCCCGGAGTAGGCAACAAACAAGACCGTTCTTAAGCAAATTGTGTGCTGTAGTAGTGATCTGAAATATTGGTCCTGGGAGAAGGCATGTCCTTCTCATGCCGTGTACCTTTGTTTGTCTTCTCTCCTAGAAAGAACACAACTGAGATTTTTTCTTACATTTTTCAGTTAGTCTAGGGTAAAGAAGGAATTGATTTAGGGCTCACCTCATCCACTGTAGAAAAGAGGACATTTAGCCTGGCTCAAGCCCCACTTTCTGAGTGACCTCAAGAAAATCAAAGTTACAAAGCCAGATTCTCCCCCATCCCTTCCTGATTTAGAAGTTGTTAGCAACCCACGACAGTTTTGACAAAAACCTTCCAACACACAGTTGATACTACATGGAATTGGAATCCTCCATAAAACCACCAACTCTCTCGTCTCCTCATAGCTGTGTCAAGCCAGGCTCTGTTGTCCATGACATCTATGCATGTTCAAGAAAGTATCATTGCTGATAATGAAGAGACTTGCCGTAGCTTATAGAGGATTAGTCACAGCTCTAAGAAGAAAAAGAAAATACTCCCGGTTCTTGGAAAGATTGGAAGACTTAGCCTCAGCCCTTCCTCCTTAGCCAAAAACCAGTGATAGGCAAGGGAGAGTCTTGCTGGCTAAGTTAGAAGACTTTCCTGGTTGGAGCATGGGTCCTGGATCTCCCACAGCGGCAATGCCTCAGGGGTTAGAACCAGGAAGCCTGGGAAGTGTCATATCCTTTACTTTCTTTTAATGAGTTTTCTTTTTCTCATTTTTGGGAGGGGTATGATATATATATATATATATATATATATATATATATATATATCTGTCTTTATCACTTATTTTAGTATTTTTAGGAATATTAGATGACTTAGAAAAAAGTTATTGACTTAGATTTAGCCATATTATACAAAGCTCAGTACTTTAGCAAATATTGAATGAAAAGTTAGGTGGTTAAATGTGGAATGGTTATGAATTCCTTTCTTTCTGGTCACATATTCCTTTCAGCATAAGATTAAAATAAATAAAACTCCACAATGATAAAGCATAATTTCATTTATCTATGGTGTTTTCCTATGAATGGCTATTTGTATGCATAGATAGGATTTAACATGCTGAATAGTAGGGCTCAAGGGGGATGCATGGGTCTCCCTAAGAAGAGGAAACAGAATAGATTTTGGGGAGTGGACTGGGGGTAGGTGGATATGACAATAAGAGGGATCAAGTGGGCGTGGGGTGGGATGGAGGGAGAGATGACTGGAATTTGGGGGTGATGTGAAAGCCTAGTGCAGTGGAAAGTTCCTGTAATCTATGAGGATGACCCCAGCAAAGACTCCCAGTAAGGGGGGAGCCTAAACCTGCCATCTTCTGTAACATATATATATATATATATTTATCTGCTTCCAATCACTAACCCAGTACCCAGTGCTTTAATGATATTCCTTTTATACCTGCTAAACCACCCTTGGGGATTTGAAGTTTGCTGAGTTTCATGCACTGTTATGTAACTGAGTTTGGAGAGTAGGATGGTAGGGAAAACGCCTCACCTACAAGGAGAATAATTAATGCTCCAGAAGGGCTGAGCTCTCTGAAGTCAGCCACCATAAAGCTTCCACTTAATAAACATACTGAAGAAAAAAAAAAAAACCTCCAAGCCTAGCACAATACATTTAAAGTCCATTCCTCCTGTTTAAAAATAAAAGCAGTCAGAAAGGAGTCTTATGCAATGACTAAGGGAGGGGACTTGAACAAAAGGAAGCTTTAATATGATAACACTTCAAAGAAGGCAGAACGGGATCTACCTGGCACTGAGCAAAAGGGCCATTAGCAACTGTTGGGAGAAAAACACAGGCAACCCTGCCCACCTGGAAATTTCAGAAGTCTATTGCCACACTGGTAAAGGCTACATTTCTTACTGTCAGAGTAAAGCAAAAAATACAACAAAAGGGTTCATGTCCTTCCATAGTCACGTATTATCTATCCTTAGTTTTGTAGGAAATGGCCACGCCCAAAGTCCACATGTCTCCAGATGGGAAATTTGATTTTAAGCACATTTGCACTGGCTCCATTAGGGAAACACTGAGCTAAAGCAAGATGTTAATACACACAAAGGGGGCATTTTACATGCCAATGTACATGCCAACGGAGGTCAATGCAAACGAGGTGGCCTTTCAGAGCACTTGGCGGTTTGATTAAGGCCATTTTCCACAGTTATCTTAAAACTGAAGTCCATAGCTAGAAATGCAACAGTATTCTGGGGACATGAGAGTGTGGCTTTCTTTTTAAAAAAGGGAAGGCAGCATTCAATTCTTCTACTTCCATACATTTCCTCCCCGGAAGTTGATCTTCTGGGAGCATCTGTGATGGTGAGGGTTGGTCACACTCACACCTTTCCCTACACAATTCCTCTTTATTTACCTTGTCCAAGTCTCAACTGCCATGCTGTATTGCTTCAGAGAACAAAAAACGGATGTATCAAGTAAAGGAACTATTCCACAGATTTCAAGTACTAAGTAACGAGTATCAAGATTCAATTACCAAATGCAAGATTCAAACATCAAGTAAAGGGAAATTTCTACAAAGTTCAGTAGGAACCAAATCTTCTGCAGCTAAGGTCATTGTCAATTTTGCTTTAAAATTTTCTTGGGGCTGGATGGTGGTGACATATGCCTTTAATCCCAGCACCCAGGAGGCAGAGGCAGGTGGATCTTTGTGAGTTTGAGGCCAGCCTAGTCTACATAGCAAGCTCCAGGTCATCCTGGTCTACACAGAGAACCCATTTTGAAAAACTAAAAAAATAAAATTGCTAAGTTGTAGAACAGCTACCCATCACATAGAAAACTTTGGGTTCAATCTCTAGAACTGTGTAGAAGAAAGAATTTAGGATGTGTTGTTATCAGTTGCTAAGTCATTAAAATAATTTTTAGGGATCTGGCAAGATAGTTCAGTGGGTAAAGGTGATTGACACTGCTGATCCTGAGAACCCAAGCTTGATCTACTCCTGGGACACACTTGATAGAAGCAGAGAACCAACACCTGAAAGCTGTCCTCTGACCTCCACATGTGTGCCATGGCAAGAATATAGGAAATAGTTTTTAAAGATTTATTCTCTTTTTAATGTGTGTTTGTTTGTCTATGGGCATGTGATATGAGTGGAGGGCCCGGGGGAGGCCAGGAGAGGGAGATCTCCTGGAGCTAGAGTTGCTGGTACCTTGAAACTCCTGATGGAGTTCTGAGAACCAAACTTAGGTCCTCTGCAAGAGCAGTTTGTGTTTGTAATTGCTGAACCATCTCTCCAGACCCTGGCTCCTAAATAGGTTATGATTATAAACTATCATGGGAATTTGGGGTGTGGTTATGTCAATATATATATATATATATATATAGAGAGAGAGAGAGAGAGAGAGAGGCAAAATGTGATAAAATTGATGCTAGGTTCTGCATTGTGAGCAATAGGTAGCCCTTCTTCATAGATATATAAACAAACTGGACCCCCCATACACACCTCTACGCACACTGTTTTGTTGACAACTGATTTATAAAACCTTTATACTTCTTATATATAATAATTAAGCCTGAAATT